ACATTCCTCTGTCTGGGCACTTACCACACATTCAGGAAGATTGTTCCACTCATTCACAACCCATGTGGATAACGTGATATCGGACCGGATATGGTTCCGCCGAGGTTTGAAAAGTTTCAAGCTGTGGCCCCGTGTTGAACAATCTGTGTTGAGCTGGAAAAACTGCAGCAACTCCTTCCCCAAATCGCCCCTTAAAATGCGTCTAGTATAAATCAAATCACCACGGCGACGGCGGTAGTCCAGAGTAAATAAGTTCATGCATTGGAGACGAAGGGGATAAGGTAAAACACGTAGCATAGACACAGACTTGGATCCACGCCTCTGGACCTTCTCAATCAATACACATTCAAATTTCGTGAGTGGGTGTATGGCAGGTAGGTCGTATTCCAGTATTGGACGAACATGGGAAGAAAACAGGAGCCTGAAGTTCTGCAGAGTCAATTAGTAAAACGACCTTCGTATGGCACAGAGCATCCTGGTGGCAGATGCTACCTTGCGCAACGTGTCCTGCGTTGTTCTTAGGTCTGGAGAAATAAGTACACCCAAGTCCTTCTCACCAACCACATTCTTCAACAGAAAACCACCGATGTGGTAAGCACCGAAAGGTTCCTGATCACCGATAGGGAGAACACAGCACTAATCACGATTGATAGGCATTTGCCACTTGACCGACCAATCGTGCAGCAGATCGAGCGTCAGCTGCAACCTGTCAGCATCTTCAAGCCTGGATACTTCCGACCAAAGTTTAAGATCATCAGCATAGATCAAGCAGTCTATTTGGAGCACCTCCGGGAGATCGTTGATGAAGATTTTGAATAGTTCGGGACCAAGTACGGAGCCTTGTGGAACCCCACTGGTCAGAATCAGAATCAGAATCAATTTATTAGGAGAATAAGATAGGAATCTATGTGATCTCCATCATAAAGTAATAGCATAAAATGACCCATCGCCGAATATGGTCTGTGTGAATGCACATCATTAGTCATTTAGTATAAGCAAACAATATACAGATATATAGACGCAAAGAAGCACTATGTGTCTTGGTCTTTATGGTTGTCTAGTGTGAGCCGTGACATAACCATGCGACCGAAACAGGTGGGTCAAACATGCGTCTGCATCGAACACACAAGTCTGAAAAATGTTTGTCAATGCTTCGTTTGAAACACTGCACTGAATCAGAAAGAACAACGGAACTGGGTAACCAGTTCCAGAAATGTATCACACGTCGCGCGAAACAGTGAATATGAGTGACATTGTCCATACGTGGAACTTCCAGCTTGTAAGAATGCCCTCGGGTAATAGGTGCATCCACAACACAGAACATATGTCTCAGGTGAGGAAAATGTCGCAAGTGAAGGATTCTAAACGTTGTAATGAGGTCAATTCGTAATCTCCTGTATACTAGTGTATGGAGACGTAACTCGTGGCACCTCTGATGATAAGATAAGCCTCGGAGCGTGGGGATCAGGCGGGTGACTAGGTGCTGGACTTTTTCCAGTTTTCTCATCTCACCTTTTGTACTTGGATAAGAACAGGACCAGAGTCAACATCCTTAACATTCACCCTCGTACTATGGTCATCTAGGAAATCAGCGCCCCATGCGAACAAATTACCAGCGATGCCAATCTGCCGAACTTTGATAAGGAGTCGTTTGTGTTGAAGCCTATCAAACGTTTTGCTAAAATTCACAAAAGCTATATCGAGGCGATGACCAGCATCCACTGACTGCGCCCATTATTCTCGGGCAACAAGCAGATTGGTAATGCAGGAGCGTGCCCTTCGAAATCCGTGCTGAGCAGGAGAGATGACGTCCAATTTCTCAAGGTGAAGATGCAAGGCCTGTTTCAAAATCCTTTCCATGGTTTTACAGAGGATTGATGACAGGCAAATCGGTCGGTAGTTCACTGGTTGCACCTCCGGTAAGTTGACACTCCAAGTGCTTTCGGATCCCAAGAAGACTGACAAAGGTTAAATTTTCTGTGCAGTGTTATTCAACTACTGTTCTCAAACAAGGATTTCGGGAGAGTGGCTAATTTTTGACACGAAAAATTGGCATGGAGGGACTTTGTGTTCCGGTACACCAGGCTAAATGGTGATGCTTTCATAACTGGATTTGAAAGAGATGTGTGTAGGTCACTTTGTGCTTAAGTATGTACAAAAATGGTAGTTGGTAAGATTTTGGTTGTAAATTTCGCTTTCATTCATCGCGATTTCATAAAATACAATAAGCAGACATGAGATATGTATACCCCTTATCCAAGCAAGTAAGCTACTGCAAGCATAAAGTTTACATACATGAAACAATTGCATTAACATTTATTTGCTCCATAAAACAGCCGTTCACACTTCACTTGTATTTACCATTTGCCTGCTTTCGATTATGCCGTGAGCTTCATCTACCACTGTAGTCATCACTTTAATTTATCACAACCGTTTTCACGAAGCAAAACCATATAGCATTATCTATTTCCCACACCTTAATACCACCAAAATTAGGAATATACTCTGCAGCCACTCAAACCAACTCGGATGTTACACAGGACAACGTAAGCGAAACGCTTTCCCGCCAATACAGAAATTAGCCCTTCCCGGATTTCAGTGAAGCAAATCTCGAACGGTGAAATACGACAAGTATAGCATGCAAACCAGGGAGAAGACCGATGGTCGAGTAGGAAAGTGTATTACACAACACGTAGTCTCTATAATAGGATATCAGTAGTGTAAAAAGAGGAAAAAGAGAAGTTACGGTTAACCGTTTCCTTCGAGATATCTTCCGTCTTCGGTAACTGCGCAGGAGTGGTGCTCTACAATGCAAACGGGAGAAGTACCGTCAGGATAACGATTCGAATTCAATCACGCGCCACAAAACAGTTTCGAGCACACTTTACACTGCACCCCCTTTACGTGGGCAACGTCCTCGTTGCCACGCCGTAACCTCCTTTCGCCGGCACTTCCATCTCGATCGCTACTTCTGTGGACGGATTGTCTGAGTCCATAGCTACTTGCCCAGTCACCGTATGGAATGGTTTGAGCCGATTGAAGTGTACAATCATGGGTTGAGCGACGGGATTGTTAGGATCCTTGATGACACAGTTTAGGCCTGATATTACGCGCTGTACGACATACGGCCCAGCCCACTCATGACATAGCTTAGTCGGTACTCCAGCTGCTGGTACCTGATGCAGATACACAACATCGCCAGCCTTCAAAGGGACCCCGAAAGTCTTTTTGTCGTCGATGCGCGTTCGCCAAATGAACACGTGCTGATTGGTGCGTCTGTTGAAGCGAATTGAGCAGCTTGCAAACGTACTATGTTACTGACGGATGTGGCTGCTGAGAAGTTGGTAGACGTATATACGAAGGCAATCGAACTTCTCTTCCGGTCCACATAAAAATATGGTGTTTGCCCTGTAGAGGAATGAACGGTGCTCCGGTAGGCCAACAGACATTTGGATAACATGGTGTCCCACTCACTGATATTCTGGTCAACGAAAGCCTGTGAGAGCGGAACAGCCTCACACCATTTTGTAAAATAGTCAACCATTACCAGAATGTAACGATAGTCTCGCGGTGTTTCTCGGAGAGGGCCGATAAGATCTACACCAACTATCTCATTCGGGTATCCTGCTACAATAGGTTGTAGTGGCGCTCTTTGGGCAATGTGTGGGTTTTTAAAGGTGGCACAGGTCTCACATGACTGGCAAAAATTGATGACGTCTCTTCGCTGATGTGGCCACCAGAAACGTTGACGCGCTGCTGACTCAAGTTTGTTGATTCCCGCATGACCAAGTTGTTTATGCAGTTCCGACAGCACTTCACTAACTAGTGTCCGTGGGACCACGATTCTTCTGGCGTAAGTTGGACCGAAATCAAACACTAGCACCCCTTCTTCCATGGACAACTTCTCCCACATCGCCCACAAGCAACGAGCTTCGTAACTCTTTCCCTCCATTTCTTTCGAGGTAGGTCTGCCTCCTCCTGAACGGCGCTTATCGTAAATAAGTGAGATGTCGGGGTCTGACGCTTGGGCTTCTTGCCAACGCCCGTACTCCGCACTTTGGAGGTTAACCAGAGCTACGTGTTGTGTAATGCAGGATGGGCAGTCGCCGTGATTTCGGATCGGGATCCTGGAGAGGGCGTCTGCATTGGCGTGTTTAGCGCCAGGCCGGTGTTGACACTCGAAGTCGTACTCCTGCAACTGTTCTTGCCATCTCGCAATCTGACCTTCAGGATCCTTGAAGTTCTGTAGCCAACGAAGTGATTGATGGTCTGTACGTACCACAAATTTCCTCCCCAGAAGGTAATGCCGATTCTGTTTTATGAAAAATACCAAGGCCAACATTTCTTTTCTGGTTGTACAGTAATTCCTTTCCCTGGAGGTGAGACTCCGGCTACCGTACGACACAACTCGTTCTACTCCGTCCGTACCTTTTTGTGACAGCACTGCTCCAATAGCGTGGTCACTTGCGTCCGTGTCTAAAATAAACTCTCCGGCAGATGTTGATATATCGGGAAATACCAAAAGCGGGGGGGTACAGAGGGACTCGCGTAACCGGTCGAACGCCTCCTGACATTCTGCAGACCACACAAAAAGACTATTCTTTTGAAGCAAAGCATTCAACGGTGCGGCGATCTCAGCAAAACCTTTAATAAAACGCCTGTAGTATGAGGCCAAACCAAGAAAACTACGTAGCTGGTCGACGCTGACGGGTATTGGCCATGATTTCACTTGCTCGGTTTTACGGGGATCTGTCTGAATACCTGTTCTCGAGATGATATGTCCAAGATAAGTCACCTTTTCCTGTAACACGTGACACTTTGTCGGTTGAAGTTTGAGACCCACGTCGATAAGTCGCGATAGCACATCTGCTAGATTGCTCAAATGATCATCCTTCGTTTTCCCATGGACAATGACATCATCCAGATAAACAAGACATTTATGGGGGACCAAGCCATCTAACACTCGCTGCATGAGGCGTTGAAATGTAGCAGGTGCGTTTGCTAGCCCGAAAGGCATGGTTTGAAACTCGTAGAGACCAGACGGTACCACAAAAGCCGTTTTCGCTTGGTCAGTCTCCTCGACTTCGACCTGCCAGTAACCGGAGGCCAGGTCTAAGGTACTAAAGTAAGCCGATCCTCCCAGTGCGTCGAACAGATCATCGATCCTAGGTAACGGAAATGCGTCCTTGCGAGTGACTTCATTTAATCGTCTATAATCTACGCATAACCGAAAACCACCATCTTTCTTTTTGACCAGCACAACCGGAGATGCCCAGGGGGAAGTGGAGGGACGCACAACGTTTTTTTCAACATCTCATCTATAAGCAGTTGTAACTCACTCTGCCAGTGTAACGGAATCCGTCGTGGAGGTGACTTTATTGGACGCGCGCTACCAGTATCAATCGAATGTTTCACGACACCGGTCCGACCTATATCTCCTGGGCGCCAGGCAAATGCCTCAGAGTGGTTGCGTAATATCTCTTTTAATCTCTCCAAAGTTCGCTTGTCAACAGGCGAGCCGAGTGCTGAGACAAAGTCGTTTATGCATTGTTCATTATCAGCAGTATCCTCCCAGATTGCAAACGTTTCTACCTTGTCACCACGATAAGGCCTGAGCAACACGGTATAGGTATCCGTGCTTAGCTGAAACTTATCCAGGTCTAATCTACATCTCAACCGGCTCAATAGATCCATTCCAATGATGACACTGAAAGGTATCCTATCAGCAACAACGAACTCGTGGTGAAATTTATCACTCGCTATCTCGACTAAAGCAGTGACTGTTTCACGAACAGGGAGAGATCCCCCGTTTGCCGCGGTCAAACGGTAACGGCAGGGAGCCCGCGTACAGTTAGTTAGTTGTGACGTAGAATCAGACCTAATCAAGCTTTTGCAGGCGCCAGTGTCGATCAAACCAATCAATGGGATTCCGGAAACTCGCAGTTCTAAAGTTAACGACAAAGTCACCGATGAGGGGCAAGTGACAGCGGGTATGAAATCAGAAATTGCTGAATCTCGCTCACCTTCTGGTTTGCTGTGGACAGGGTATGTTTCACGGTATCCTTGCTCCAGTGGCCGTGGGCGAGCTCCTCTGAAGTAGGGCTGGTGTGGGCGTCGAGGGCGAGGGAGCCCACGATTCGCAATTCTCGGTTCTGAAGGCTTGTACTCAGGTTCGCAACGGTTCCCCACGGCACAACAACACGATGATGTAGGACCCATGGCGGCATCGACTCTTTCCAATTTCTCAGCCAATTCCACGGCCGCACCCCAACTCTCCGGCGGATATAACAACAACTCACGACGAATCGATGGTATTCGGACCCCATCTACGAATTGTTGCAATATTCGTTTTTCCCGGATCTCGGGAACGTCGTCTGCAAATGCGTATCCTCCGAGGCGCCGCAGCTCCCTTGTGAACGACCGTACAGTTTCACCGGGTTGCTGAACGCGAGCATGGAAAGCTTGCCTCCACTGCGTAGGCAGAAGCGGGGAATCGAGAAGTTTTGATAGTGCGTCGAACGTGTTGTCATCAACCCCATTTTCCAGCACATCGCTATCAGCCACAATGTCCAATGCCTCCCCTGAGAGGAGTCCTAGCAAGACGCAACCTCTCATTTCGTTGGGGAAGTGTCTGACATACGCTCTGGCGTGTTTCGACCAGGTGGTGAAAGTCATTCCCAAGCAGAATTTCTCCGGCGCAGGGACTGAAGGGATACATCTAACTTCGGTAGACTGAGGAGTAACATTGCTAGGTTTGGCCAGATCTCCATCGCGCTTCAAGCCGGCAAATTCGCTCTGATCCTTTGGTACGGTGACCTTTTGATTTGACGACTTCGACATTTTCCGCGGGGATCCTGGCAGGGTCGCCATGTTATAGCATGCAAACCAGGGAGAAGACCGATGGTCGAGTAGGAAAGTGTATTACACAACACGTAGTCTCTATAATAGGAAATCAGTAGTGTAAAAAGAGGAAAAAGAGAAGTTACGGTTAACCGTTTCCTTCGAGATATCTTCCGTCTTCGGTAACTGCGCAGGAGTGGTGCTCTACAATGCAAACGGGAGAAGTACCGTCAGGATAACGATTCGAATTCAATCACGCGCCACAAAACAGTTTCGATCACACTTTACACAAGCATGCCGTGACCTTGCACAAATTGTTTGGTTGTTATCACTTCATTAAAGATATTGCTTTACTATAACTACCTATATATTTACATACACCTATGTTAAATTTGAGTATATAACCCTCGCACTATTATTTTACCACTTTGCTGTTAAAAGAACGCTATCCGTACAACGCGTTCCCTCCATTGCACGTACTGGGCGCTCCCATGAAACAGATCTAGGTGCAGTAAAAGTAATCGTGCGAAAATGCGGAGATGAACATACCATGACAGCCAAAGATAACTTTAAGACGTAAGTCAAGCCGATAGTTTAAAAGCAATGCTGCGAACAAAAGGAATTAAATAAGGTTGAAGCTTGGACCAGAAAAGAATAAGCGAAAGTAGGTAAGGAAAGCGCGCAAACCCTCCTCCCCCAAACCAAGAGGTTGGAATACACTGAACAGACCACCTGGTGCTGAAATACCTTCAGCTTTATCTAAGGCTGTGCAGGCATGGAATGAACAACACCAGACAGCTCCATCAAGTACTAATCAAATTGCGGAGGTGCCTACTCCAAACATATCACGCTGTCTGTCGGGGATTCATGTAGTGAAGGTTGGCACCGAAGTTGAGCCAAGGACTTGTTCGCCTGTAAGATGAAAGCAATCTCGGAACAGCACTGCATGTTCTCTTCAGGTCAGTTCGCAAATCTTCAAGAATGATGCGTCGAACGAGTTGAACATAGGGCGTACGCCATGGTTGTCTTAGCGTTGTCTGATAACGTGCGCTTTCTCTCACTAATTACGCCTAAGTCGGCCGCTGTTCATCTAAAGGGGAAAGCTCGTGGAGTAACTAAACCCGTCGATGTGCTTCTTTCATGGATAAGAGCGTGATATTCTGTAACGCCGTAGAATCCAGTGCCGCACTTCCTACCGAAAGAACGTTGGATGACATATAGCGGTTTAAAATAGGCGTAACGGAGCTACTTCCATCTGGGTTTTTATTGCGTTACTGTTAGGAAAATGACTGGATTACGTAACGTCCTAGTTACCGTGCCATGCTCTCGACGGTGCTTAATTGGTGTGGTCCTATCCACCCCGAAGGAACTCAACGCGCTGTCGCTGTTTAGTTTCAGACTGAAGGGTACTAATTTTATCCTTCTGCCAGAACTCTCCTTATCAGGTATGATGAAGCCGAGCAGGGTCATCAAGTATCCCAAAACCAGGCGAGTAACCAGTGAATATCCTCTCCGGTTAGGGGGTCTGCGGGTGGCCAGCCTGCTGTCCTTTTCCGCTCTACCAATGCCGGTCCTGGTAGCGCACGACAGGGGGCTGGACCTTACGAGTACCCTCAGATATTGGTGTCCAGTATGTGCAGTCTATGGAATAACGTGTGCAAGCTAGGTCTGGTTGTAGTGGGGTCTCAATGCGACGTACTCACATTCACTAAAAGGTGACGGGCTCATGGAGAAGACGAAAGCCACCTAGGAGCATTGATCCAGTGCTAGATCTGTTCATAACTTTGCCATTTAAGGGCAATACAGCAGCTGATACATTATCTCGACGTCTGACAGGTGCCGTTGAGAAAACGTTCGCAAACCGATTGTGAATTGTTTACCATAACAAGCCATTGCTTGCAAAACCCTTGAAAAATAGTCTGTCATCATTGACCCGTTCAATGATCGTTTATCAGTTATCGTGCTCCTGTGGTGCACGATACGTGGGTCACACAACGAGACATCTACCCCAGAGGATTGGCGGGCACATCCCGGCTTGGGTTTACAAAGGCGAAGTAAGGTCCTCAGACAACTCAATCATGTCGCACCTCCTCGAAAGTAACCATACGGCGTCTGGGAATGACTTTAAAGTCATCTACTCACTACCTGAATACTTCTCGCAAGCCTTCCGAAAGCCAAGCTTGTCTATTGCCGAGGCTAGTTAAGTTCGCCACCTGAATCCGGATTTATGCGTACATAAACGATTTCTATGGCCGATACGACTACCGTGGCTAATTGACATGGTTACTTAATTCCTTCGGAATCTTACCTATTTACTTTACGCTACTGAGGCTTGTATATTAAGTTTCCTATGGCGCACTTTCTTGCCCTTTGTAGCCGCAATTAGTCATCGATCTTGATCGTTCAACACCTTAGAACTCAATCCCCGCCGATTGGACGCTTACTCCACACAAGGAGTGTTAGGTGAACATTTGGGTCTGCAGAGTTTACCGAAAAGAATTCTTAACCCTGAACAGATTTCTGGTCTCGATTCATCTGGATGCAATGGGAAGAGTTGCCTTGCTGATAACCAGCATTTTCCGTGCGTTATTCTAATGATTTTATTGTGTGGAGTGCCGTATCCGCATTGTCGCAGTGTTGTTAAACAGACTTTAGTAGCTTTATAGGCAGTGTGCGGCGCTTAAATAGAGTTGTTGACGTGATATTATGCGTTTGTACGCTTCAATCGGCCGATAAACTGTCAAAGCTCTATCAGCATTGTTTACTACTTCCTCGGCTTAATTTACTGTTGTTGTTGTGTATTAAAGCGCTGAGTGTGTTCCATGGGGTATGTGATTTTATTGCCTCTCAGTCACCAAACAGGTGGTTGATACTAGGGGATTTCAATCTACAGGAAATGGGCTGGCAAGATCTTACTTGCAGCTCGGCGGCTGGTACTTTCGGTGCAGATCTTGAGCTTACGCTACAAGTACCGTTGCATCAGTTCGTGGACCTCCACACTAGGTACATAAATGCCCAACTCCCGGCTAATTTGGATCTAGCTTTTGACAAGTCTTTAGATTTCGTATGTGACATCATTTACAGCTCTATTATAGGTGCCGGTAAGCACCTCTGTTTATCATTCAGGTGTACTCTGACCAGGCGTCACCAGAGCATCGCTAAGCCGTATCCATACGTATGGCGTGCTAACTCTCAGGCAATGCGTATCAAGGCTTCTGGGTTGCGTTGCGAAAGCTCGGTGGTTGATACTGTTCAGGCGGCCTGGGATAAATAACAGTCCTATCTCACAGAAGTGTCTACTCCCTACACCTCGCTTGCGAGGAGAAAGGAGACACGAGCGCGGCCGCCGTGGTTAGATACCACTGGCGCGTGCCTGCTTCCGAAGCGTCCTAGTCGCTGGAGGACCTACCTTGCGGCTCCATCAACTAGCACCTATGATAGATACCGCGAGGCTAGAAATAGGCGTAAACAACCCTTAAGGAAAACCCGGCTGTTGTACAAAAAGGATTTGGCGGATGGAGCTTCGGAATATCTGAAGTAGTCCTTCGCTTATGTTAGGAGGCGCTGTCGTCCAGATTCGATATACTCAAATTTAATGCGGGCCGATAAAACTCATGCGGATGGGGACTCAGATAAGGCTCGTGTACTTGGTGAGCAGTATGCAGGAGCTTTTGTACGCGAGCCTGCGTTGACTAGCATTGAACTTGTCCCCAGAGTATCCTAGGGTTCTTATTTAGCTGAATTTACTGTGAAGAACACGCAAGTCCTTAGGCTGCTGGAAGAACTGAACCCTTCTAAAGCAGATGGGCCTGATTCAATTCACCCGAAGCTTCTGCATGAGTTTGGCGGTGGAACTAAGTGGACCGCTGACGATGGTGTTTCTGAACTCACTTGACAGCTGTAGATTACTTTCTGAAGGGAAGGGGGCTGTCATCTGTCCTGTCTTCAGAAATGGCGACAGGGGTCTGTCAGCCAATTATAGCCCAGTCAGTCTGACTAGAGTCGTGGCCAAACTGCTTTGAAAGCTGGTGAGAGATTCGTTGGTAGGTCAGCTGAATGGATTTAATCTACTCATTACTGCACCAAACGGTTTCCGGAAGGGCTTTTCGTGTCTGACGTATTTGTTGGTTGCTCGTGAAGCTTGGACCGTGTCAGTTTACAATGGCCAAGTACTTTATCGAATTTGCGTCAACTTCGCTCATATGAGTAGCTTTCCCACCTTCGAGGTAGGTGTTGTTCGGGGTTGCGCACCCCTCCTCTCCAGCCATTTGATTCTACATGTCTTCTAAGCCTGGCGGTTTCATTCTGTTTACAACGGGAAGTAGCCTGCCAATAGAGGAATTTGGAAGATTGCGCCTAATACGCCGTGTTTTACTGGTATTAACTGACGACGTATTTTAGAAGCTTGCCTCACCTTTCGTTCGGCGATTCCTCTAATACTGAGTCCAGGCTGGCCAGGCCTGACTTTTTAGGAACATACTAAAGCTCGAGAGGCTTTTGCGAGTACGTACCAAATTGGTCTAGTTGTTATGAGAGCAAAGGTGCCCCGAGCATTTCGTTAGATTGGGTACTATTCAAAGCACCATGTTCAGCATCGTGAAAGCCCAATATTTTACTGCATTTTAACAGGGAAGTTTGGATCGGACTTGAGCTGGCTATTTAGCGCGGCTAAGTTCCCTTGGCTTTGTGGTCATTCCATGAAGCTACACAAGCTGCGTTCCGACCAGGTCAGGGCGGAAACTCGGTTAGCTAGCACAGCTATCCTGCACTGGACTCGTTTCCATAAAGTGTAGACAGTGGCCTTGCGGTTAAAGTTTTCGATCGTCAGGTATATGCTCTTCGGTGGCAACACGAAACCTTTCCCTTCTCCTGACCATACCCATCATTTAACTTTAGTTTATCTTCTATCTTTCTCCTCACGCTTTTTTGTTATCCTTTATTTAATTGAGTTTCCTTTGTCTTTCTCTTCTGTTTTACTGCGTCTTCCTTACTTCACGTGACCCACATTGCGGGGCTACTAGTGCAGAGAGCAAGGGTAGTGCTTGTTTGGCTTGTTTTTGAGTCGGATCTTTCCTTTTAGGCCCGGGAAGCCCCCGTAACATCTTATCATTTCCTGGCTCTTCGACCTGCTCAAGACGTAACACACAAGCGATTTTGCTATCTTTTCTGCTCCAAATGAATCTGCGGCTGAA